GTTGGGAGCGCTTAGGTGCTGCAGCCGTCCCTCGGCAGCTGTGGGGGCTCCTCTGTCGCTGCTGCGTCTCTCTCTCCATGCAGACTGGCCTCCGTTTCTGACATGTGGAAAGTGGGCTGGCCCGGCTTCCAGCTCTTTTATCTAATTGGAGAGATTCTCTCAGCCCAAGACTGAGTTCCCAGTTCAGAGTCTCAGGGAGGGGACCCTGCCCTGCTCAGGTCACCTCTGCTCTCATCAGCGGTGGCCAGAGAAGCCAGACCACATGTAGCAACCATACCCACTCCTGTAACCAGTGGGGGCAGGAAGGGCACAGTTCCTGGACAGGGGGGAGATCCCCGTAACCAGTGGGGGTAGGAAAGGTGCAGTTCCTGGATGGCGGGGGGAGACCCCTGTAACCAGTGGAGGCAGAAAGGGCGCAGTTCCCAGACAGGGGAGACTTGTTTGATTCAGCCAGAGGCCCCCGAAGATGTCTCCTACGTGCTTGGGGTGATTTCACCTCCCAAAGCGAATGTGGCCTCCTTCTGTGCTCAGCATTGCCTGAGGAACTGGCCCCCTGCTGGGGCTGGGCGAGCTGGGGCCCGGGGAATGGTGTGACTGGCAGCTCTCGCTCCTGCTCTCTCGCTCCTGCTCTCTCGTCCCTTGGACCCTTGCGGGTGCTGTCAGCCCTTCCTGGCCTCTCCTCCATCCGGTTTTCTCCGTGCCACTCCTGCCCCACCCCTGCCCCACACCCTCAGTATTCCTGCCTCAGTGAACACTGCAGTGTTGCCTGGCCCTGGTCTCAGCCTCAGCCCCGTCTTCCTGGTGCCGGCTCACAGGGAGCGAGAGTTTTAGCATCTCGTTTCACTTCCACAACTTGCCCTTCCCTGGGTCCCTGACGAGCTTGGCCCCCAGCCCCGTGCCTGAGTGTGAGCAGGGCCTGCGTCCCTCCCTGCCCTCAGTGGCTCTCACAGAACCTTCTCGTCAGCCGTCCCATGTTCCCCTCTTTGCTTTCAGCTCATGAACTCACTGCTTCCTTCTCTGGAAGTCCTGGGGCATCCGCTCACGTGCTGTCAGACTTTCCAACCGCTCAGGAAAGTAGGAGAGTAAAATTGCTGTGTACTTAGAGCTTATAATTCATGTGTCACCATATTCGCGTCGGTTGTTTTTCATCGCTAGGGGGTACATACACTCACCATGACAGATGGGGGCCGTGCAGGGGGCAGAGAAAGCAGTGCACAGTGCGGGACAGTCACACTGCCGTCCCTCCTCTTCCATCTCTCCATCCTGCAGGGATTTGGGGTGCGTATACACACCCCCCCGGCACGTTTTTCAAGCCGCTGAGATGAAGATTTGAACCACCATCAGCCATGTGGGACCCAGCTCCCTGTAGTTAGGATAAGGATGGGGCAGTGTGACCCATGAAGGATTGGAATAGGCCAGGTATATGGGAAGGGCTGCACCGGTGTGACTGTGACTGTCTCTGAGGTGTGACAACCAGAGCAGATCACTGGAGGCGCACACCTGCCCCGGGCTGTGGCCTGTGGCCAGGAAGTGCACCTGGGAAGCTGTCCTTCCCTTCCCTTGAGCGTGGTGCCCTGGGAAGAGTGTGGACTGCGATGGGTTTGGCTCTTACCTCGCCTTTGCCTGCTCTAGTGTAGCGCTAGCACGCAGCGCCAGCTGGCCCCGCTAACCCTGCCTGCCCTGGAGGAAAGGAGATGAGGATAGTACAGTGCACACTCCTGCTCCTCTCGTCTGCCTCTTGGAGGGCCTCCCTCCCTCCCCAGCCTCCCACCCTGGCAGGAGCGGCCCAGGAGCGCTGTCTCCCGACTAAACAAAACATCCCTCATGTCTTCTGATGCCCCTTCCTAGCGCCCTGTCCTCTTCATGTAAAAAGGTGACCCGTGACTCTGCTTTCTTTTTTTCCCCACCCTCAGCCCCCTGGCCTCCCCACTGCAATTCTGGGTCACCAGGAGCCGGCCTGGCCAGAGCCCATGGCGTTCATTCCAGTTTGACTGGCCGCCTGTGTGACGAATTTCAGTGCTCGGCGCTCCCCACTTCTCAGCAGCTGGCGCCATCCCCCTCCCCATCTTTATTATTGCCAGAGGGTGCGACCACTCACTCCCTTTTAGGTCAGTCTGTGGAGATGGCAGTTCTCATGCATGGGAGAAAATAAAACTGCTAGAGGAAGCAGCAGGCAGCCAGAGAGAGGGGGTGTAAAAGCACCTTCGAGGGGCGCGGTCCATTTCTCCAGCCTGTCAGGACACACGTGCAGGCCCGTGATGTTTTTAAGACACTGGGGCTGGGATTCAAACTGCAGTTGGCCCTGTGGACTCCAGCTCCCTTAACCACTTGGCTACACTGGCTGCCCCTTACCCACTCTTGAAGCTGCTTTTGCCTTGTTTTTCCAGCTGCCCTGCCCCCCTGCTCCTCCCGTGCCTGAGTCCTACCTGCTTTAGTGCCAGCTTGCCTCGTAGCTTGTCTGACATCTCTACGTCAGTCCGCATTGTTTAGCACAGCCTTCCTGCCGCGCCACAACTGTACAGCCAGGAGCCGGTAGGCCTGTAAGCGAGGGTGCTAAGACGCTGACAAGACCAGTACCAACAGGGGTTATTTATTTCTTTATTTCATTTTTGCCAGAGGGCATATGCACTTGCCCAGGAGAGAGAGATGCGCAGAGAGAAAGACAGCGAGAAAGCCCTCCCGAGGGGCATGGCCACACTGTGGTTCTTCCCACAGTCCTTTCTCCATGTTCCCTTTTTGGGATTTTGAACATGTACATACATGTACTGGTAGGGTTTTCTTTCTTTCTTTTTTTTTTTTTTTTCAAGTTTTTGTTATAGGCCATGCACACTCACCAGAGACAGAGGTAGAGGGAGAGAGAAAGTGAGAAAGCACCCCCTGGGGGGGATGACCACACCACTATCCCTTTTCCTTCATTCTCCGAGATTTGGGGCACACACACAAACATACTCAGTGTGTTTTTCTCCCCCCCCCCCCGAAGAGGTTTTTGCTATAGGGCGTGTGTGCTCACTGGAAGGACAGAAAGTAAAAAATCACCCCCTGGGGGAATGGCCACATTGCAATCCCTTCTTCTCCATTCTCCTCTTGGGACCTTGGGCACACATACATGTGCCTGGTGTGAGTTTAAGCCGCCAGATCAGGGACTCAAATCATGGTTGACTATGTGGGAGTCCAGCAATGTGACCATTATGCCATTTGCTGGTCCCCCCAGTGTTTTTCAGGCTGCTGGATCTGGGACTCATGAACCTCACGGTCAGCCACATGGGATCCAGCCACCTTAACCATCATTCCACCTGGGTGGCCTACCTAGTGTTTTTCTCAAACTACCAGGCCTGGGATGCCCCTTTTTTTTTTTTTTTTAAGAATTATTTAACTTTATTGTGCTATTTCAATTTGACCAGAGAGGGAGAGAGAGAGAGAGAGAGAAAGTGAGAAAGCAAGCCACCAGGTCCAGGACCTGAACCGTGTGGTCAGCCATGTGGGAGTCCAGCGCCCTGAACCACTACGCCACTTGCTGGCCACCCCCCACCCCCAGGTCTGGGACTCTTAACTATGCAGCTGACTACTGCTACCCTTAGCCTGTCTTCCTTCTTCCTGGGCGTGAGAGCTGCCATTTTCATAGCCGTAGCTGGCTCTCCTGGGCTTTAGAGCCATCTGGCAGAACACAGGACCACTCACCTTGGGCAGCTCCTCCACTGTGGCTAGGGAACTCCTACTGTGGACATCTCGATGTCTCTCCCTGCCAACCCGAGACAGGGAGCACCACCCACGTCCTCTTCCCCCCTTTCCCCAGCAGGCCTTGCATGAAGGTGTCAGTTTTGGTTGGGGGAAGGAGGAGCAGGAGGCAAAGGGAAGTGGAAAGAGACTGAAGAGAAAGCAGATGAGCATGAACAGAACTGCTGACTGGAGTCTGAAGTCGTAGTGTGCTACCAACCGAGGACCTGCCCTTTGTCCTTGATGCCATGCCAAGACACTGAAAACTGGCGTCCTCCTCAACGCAACTCTCAAGCACGTGGTGGTTGAGAGGTTGAGACCTCCATCCCAGTCAGAGGGTGGCAAGATGGATGCAGGGGAGGATGATTGGGTGGAGAGGGAGAGGCAGAGGTGGTGATATTTGAACTGGGTCTCTCAGGACAAGTAGAAAACAAAGGAGGGAGGGAGCTGGGGTGGTGGGAGGGTTCAGCATGCGCCAAGACTGGGAGGCCTGGTGGGTGTGGTAAAGCTCAGCACCACACAGGGGAACCGGCCGGGCCGCCGATGAGCCCTTTCCCAGCTCTTTTGGACTTTGAGAATGTGCTGAATAGCCTGTCCGGGGCCCCGGCTAAGTCGTGCGGATGAACCACTTCGTAGGTGGAAGTCTTGTCTTCCCTGTTAGGGGGCAAAGCCTGGGACTTGGGGGCTTTGGTGTGTGTGCACCTTGGCACAGACTATCAAGAGGCTTTGAGGGGAGTTCCCTGTCCCAGCGGCAGAGAGAGAAATCAGTGTCCACACCAGGAGCTCCCCACCCGAGGGCAGTGGCCCTGAGCGCGCTGTGGGATGGCGCTGCCAACGGGGTGCAGCCGAGAGGACGGCCGCTCTCAGCCCGGGAGCAGACAGGTCTGAGGGAGTGAGCCCCTCAGCAGTGACATCCTGCCGTCTGTGTACACGTGTTGGAAGTCTCACGTTTAGTCTTGCTCAGTTTTTAGAACTTGGCGAAGCCTTTGGCTGGGTGCATCTCGTCACCTTTCTCCCCTTCCTTCCGGCAGCCTGGTGCAGGCAGAATACTGGCACGACCCCATAAAGGAGGACATGTACCGCAACCACAGCATCTTCCTGGCAGACATCAATCAGGAGAGGGTGAGCACCGACCGCCCACCGTGCACCCGTTCTTCTGTCCTGGTCATTGCAAGCCAGCAGTGACTGCTCACCCAGACTATCGCGGGCAAAACCCAGGAAGCACAAGTTCCGGGTTTTTTTGTGTGTTTGTTTCTCCCATAAGAGAGAGACAGAAGGGCACGCACCCCAAGGCCTTCATACCAGTGTGCTCCGGCCCACAGTGGCCCTGGTGTCTAGAGTGCTCAGGGAGATGCCAGGATGCAAACCTGGGCCCTTTCCCACCTGGGTCGGGTTGGGTTACCACAGCACCTCCACCTGGCCCAACATTGGTCTTGGGGGAGGCAGTGCTTCTGAGTTTCCGTTCCTTTCAGGGAGGCTAGAGTTCCTTTGGCTTTCTTCAAGTCTTCCTCTTTTCCTAGTGTTGAAACAGCAGAATAAGCTGTGAGTTGACTGGCCGGCGAAGGGGGCACACTCAACAACTGCTGTCTTCGTGAGGGAAGCCGTCCTTGGGGGTCCCTTTGGGGGCAATTTCCCCAGAAATGGACCTAGAGGAGACTGCAGATGGCACTGCGCATGTCTCAGATGCGAGCCTGGTCTGGGAGGTCCTGGTAAACCAGATGCCTCCATTTATACGAGGCTTATTTGGAGGGTTTTTCCTTGAAACAGAACATTTGACAGTGAAAACAAAACCAGAAACCACCACAGACTAGTAGAGCAGGATCACCCAGAATGTGCAGTTTCTTATCTTGCCTTGGTTTTCTGTGGGTAGAAGCCTTTAACCCATGGATGTCTGTGGACTATGGTGACAAGGTCATGGCTGGTGACATGCCAGTTACATAGAATGGCAGGAAAGAGCTGCACAAGGTGTATTTTGGACAGGAAGCAGGGGGAGCAGCTCAAACCATAGGGAAGAAACGTGGCCTGGTCAGGAGCAGGGAGACCAGAGCGCAGACGAGCTCTAGCAAACCTGCGGGAAGCTGATGGATAACCCTGAGGTGCTGCTGGCCTTTCTTCCAGGGTGTCAATGCGTCCTACAAGAAGAACCTGATGGCCCTGAAGAAGTTTGTAATGGTGAAATTCCTCAATGATTCCGTTGTGGACCCTGTAGATTCTGAGGTGAGACACTATGAATCCACAGGTTAGGAGGAAATAGTATTGAAATACAGCTGCTGGGAAAAAAGACAAACCTTCAGTCTCTTCCACCGGCCATTACGTAGGGCAAGCGTCTGCACCTCAAGTCCACAACTGGGACACTGAGTTGGCTGAAGCCTCCCAATTCACCCAGACCGCACATAAAATTAGTAACTGTATTTTCTTCGGGGGGAACATCTCTCATTGGAGTCAGATTTTCCAAGATCTAAGACCCAAAAAAAGCCCAGAATCACTAGCCCAAAGTCTGCAAATTCCCAAGCCTGGCATTCCAGGTCTGCCTTGGTCTGGCTTTGACCCAGCTTCCAGCCTTGTCTCCCTTCACCCTCTACTTTGTTCATCTTTGATCAAGACGTGCTGTACTTTAACTGCCAAACCTGGCACGTGCTTTTTCTTGTCTTGGCTCATGCTTTTTCTTCTCTAGAATGCCCTTCTCTGGATTCTTCTCTTGACAAACTCCCATCCATCTGTGAAGGCCAAACTCAAGTGTCACTTCTTCCAGGCTGTCACCCCGATTCCAAGCAGAATTTGCTCCCTCTTCTGTAGAGTCACCAGCTTCTGTCAGAGGACTCATCATATTATGTCAAACCATTAGGAGTTGGCTAACTTTGGCCCATGGAAATTTAAATCTCCATGTCCACAAATAAAGTTTTACAAAGAATGATCCAATGGCATGGTGGTTAAAGCAGCTAGATTCCACTTGGCTGTCTGCATGGTTCAAGTTCCAGACCTGGTGGCTTGAGAAACACGTGAGGTGTGCATGTGTGCCCAAAATCCCAAAAGGAGAACAGAGCAGGGATTATGGTAAGGCCATTCCCACTAGGGAGTGCTTGATCACTTTCTCTGTCTCCAGCAACACACATACCCTATAGCAAAAAAAAAGTTTCACGGATACACAGAGATAACTCACTTCTCACTTTTTGTCTGGCTGCTTCCATGTTACAATGAGTGGTTCCATCCATATGGCACTTAAACCCTAAAATATTTTTTATCTGGACATAATAGAAAAAAAGCTTGCTGTCCTATGCTAAGAATTGTTTCCACTGGACTGGAAGCTTCTTGGAAAAAGGGATTGTATACTCATCCTTGGGCACCTAGAGTTCAGAAAAAAGATCTTCGCAGCTTAGGTGAGCAGCACATGTAGGAAGCCGAGATTCTGAGGACGTGGAAAGCTCTTTGGCAAGATGAACTCATCTCTCGGGGTCCACCTTTAGGCAGAGATGACTCAGTACCTACCCTGTCCCCTTTCCTTCCTGCTACAGGATCTTGCTGTTACCGTTGGTGTGTTGCAAACTAGTTGGGTAGCTTGTGTCATGTGTCTGACCTGATCTGTCTTCCTCCTCCTGCAGTGGTTTGGATTTTACAGAAGTGGCCAAGCCAAGGAAACCATTCCCCTACAGGAGACCACTCTGTACACAGAGGTAATTGCAGGGGAGAGCTGTGTTGGGAGGCTGGTTCCTGATGCTGCCAAGTTACTCAGTGAAAGGCCCTGCCCGTTTCCCCACACACGAAGCATGTCTGATACTGGGAGGAGTGTTAGGCGATTGTTACATGAACTTATCTCGGGCTGTTTTTTGGAGTCTACATTTTGAAGGTAGATGGACCTGTACCTCTTGTTTTTCAAGCCCGAACAAGAGAAACATCATCTCTAACTCCTCCCTTTTGATAAAATGGCTGCTTTGTAGCAGTCTGCTACAAATTGAAGGAGCCCCATATAGAATGAAAAACAGAAGGGCATCGTGTTAAAACATTCATAATAGACGTGGTCATCCAGTTTTAACTTAGGCACTGACCATGGGAGCTCCTCCTGCAGGTAGAATGGGACCAGAGTTGTGGGTTTTGTTAAGCAGTAAGGGCCTGTTTCTCAAGCAGAAGTTGTATCAATACTATTTTACCACTTCCAGTTCTGGGGCCTTTTACACTCTCATCGATTTTATATTGGACATAGACTCTCAAAAAAAAAAAAAAGCTATATCTGAACCAAGTACCTATTAGAATTCTTCCAAGTAATTTCAAAAACTGTCTCCTGTCTTGCCTTTTATATTTGCTGCCTTAGCTTGGGTAGGGTGAAAAGGGAAACTAGGCCTGTTCAAGAGTTTCAGAAATTACAAACTGAGAACTTCCTCATTGTGAAACTCAAACCGATGGTGGCCGCAGCAGCACCATCTGGCGCTGTCCTACTGCTCATCTTGCTAGCAGAGGTCTACCTGCCCCACCTGTCCCAGGCTACAGGTAGCGACATTTTCAATCTCGGATATGAAAGCCTCAGGTTTGTTATCAGGGCTGGATCTCTAGGTCGTCTAGCTCATGTTCTCCTGTCTTTGGGTCAGTCCCACAGAACTATGATTTTCTGAGACAGTTTTGTCCATCCGGCTCTGGGAAGCTTTTCAGAAAGCAAAATATAAAACTTTGTATAGAACATTCTCAATTACAGATTTACTTTTAATGCTTAGGAAGTATCTTTTTTTTTTTTTTTGGCATTTTTGACAGTACACCCATCTGGCGCTGTCCTACTGCTCATCTTGCTAGCAGAGGACTACCTGCCCCACCTGTCCCAGGCTACAGGTAGCGACATTTTCAATCTCGGATATGAAAGCCTCAGGTTTGTTATCAGGGCTGGATCTCTAGGTCGTCTAGCTCATGTTCTCCTGTCTTTGGGTCAGTCCCACAGAACTATGATTTTCTGAGACAGTTTTGTCCATCCAGCTCTGGGAAGCTTTTCAGAAAGCAAAATATAAAACTTTGTATAGAACATTCTCAATTACAGATTTACTTTTAATGCTTAGGAAGTATCTTTTTTTTTTTTTTTTGGCATTTTTGACAGTACACCTCAATTTTAATATTCAGGGAAAACGGTATTTTGAGAATGAGGGGGTCTTCAGGAAGTTCATGGAAAATGTATGTTGTGCAAAACTACATGTTTTTGAACTTACCTCATATATCTCAAGTTAAAATTGGATTACTTTACTGCTTTACTCAAAAACTTTTCATTAAGCCTCTTGATTAACTATGGCCCTTCTCCCTGCAGGACCGACTGGGGCTAAGGGAAATGGACAAAGCAGGGCAGCTAGTGTTTCTGGCTACAGCAGGGGACCACCTGCAATTGTCTGAAGAATGGTTTTATGCCCACATCATACCTTTCCTTCAATGAAACCCTTGCAGTTTTGTACCAGAGCTCAGGGAGCCCCCACCTCTTCTAAACCATGTTGGAGACAAGTTTCCTTCACGTCCAAACCTGAGCTCAGATCCAGCTTGCAACTAATCCTTCCTTCTCTCCTATCATCATCTAACATTGCCCTACTTGGAAAGATCTAAGATCCGAATCTTATCCTTTGCTGCCTCCTATCACCATATGGTGTTGAATGCAAGTTTAATAACCACAAAGATTGTTTTACAACCTTTTGATGTGGTCAAGCTCAGTTTCAGGAAAAGAAGTCTGCTGCCGATCAGTGTCAGAACCGTGCCCAGGTTCAGAGGAGACTTGAAAAACTACAGCAATAAGACATCCTAAGGGCAATCATCTTTTGTAGGGAAGCCTAGCTACATTTCAAGCAAAGAGAAGTCTGGTACCATGGCCTGAGGTACTGACAAAAAATACTTCCTTCATTTTGCTAGTGGAGACTGAATTAGTGCTTACACAGTCTTGCTTAGGTAGCGGTTCTGTATAATTTTCTTAAGGCTGCCTTCCTCTCTGGGTATGTTACCATCTGTGCCATCTTAGCAATTAGGCAAATTCCCTGGTCTGCCATTTTGCCACTGCAGCACTTATTTTGTCCCCTCACATAGTGATGACTTACACAGTCACAAAAGGAGGGAAATGGTGGGGGACCAGCAGTTAGCATAATGGCTATGTTGCTGGACTCCCACAAAGTCGACTGCGGTTCGCGTCCCGGACCCGGTGGCTTAAAACTCACGCCGGGTGCGTGTGCGTGCATGCCCAAGATCCCGAGAGGAGAACAGAGGAGAAGGGATTACAGTGTGGCCATCCCCCCGGGGGGTAATCTCTCGCTTTCTGACTGTCTCTCTCCGTCTGTCTGGCGAGCGCACACGCCCTATAGCAAAAACCTCTCAAAAAAAAAAAAAAAAGGAGGGAAATGGCACCTAACTTGAAGAAATGTTGTTACTTGATGTAGATGGTCGGGGGTGGGGATGTGTGTAAAGAAAATGTAGCAGCAGAAAGAAAAATTGAGGCAGCAAAGTTCTTTCCATTCCATCACTGACTAACCTGCCCTTCTTCATACGACTAGTGGTCTGGATGCCAGTTATTCCACCGCTCACTTTAGCAAAGAATGGAAGGAACAATGTCAAATGCGCAGACCTTCCAACCTCCATCCCCAAAATCACCTAGCGGCACACTCCAAATGGTTCCTGATGTGTTCTGGGAGAAAAGGACTGTTTGCTCAGAAAGCCTGGAGAATATCACATACTCCCTGTCTCTTCCTGGAGATCCACCCACATTGGACAATTTAAGAAATGATTAGAAGTGCTTTGACGAAAGTACCTCCCTAGTGCTGCAGTTTTCCTTTGTGATTGTCCCTTTTCTTCTCTCAAACCTTATTCTACTACAAGATGAGGATAAAGGAGGAGTGAAAGTCATTTTATGAGGTTGTCGAAAATAAAACTGTAGTTTCTTATCCTTGGTGTCCTTTTTCTTTTCATATTTTTACATCTCTGAATAGCAAATATCATAGGTAAATGAGCATGTTTGGTATTAACTTTATTCTATTTTCTGTATAACTTTAAGTACATAAAGGTTTATTTCCACAGGCCTCAGGAAATGGGTAGAAGTCACAGGACAATCTCTTTTCCCACCAAAAGAAAGTTGCATATTTTGGTAAGTGTTTGTCCTAGAGAGAAAAACTGAAATCTATATTAGCAATGCTGTGTGAGGTTCTTATATAAACCAGGACCTAAAACCAGCCTGCAGTGGAGGTTTCACACCCCTGTTCAGGTGCCTAGACAGAAGCCCGAAGCTGGTGAGCATGACAAGGAGAAGGAGCAATGAAGATGGAGGACAGGCACCCAGCACGGAAGGAGGAAGGAATGCCAGAGTCCTTGGAATGGTGTATTGTTTTTTCCCTTTTTAAAAAGTTACCTCTGTAGGAAGGTGCTGGGCAGGGATCCCAGAGAAAGAAAGGGTCTGAGACGCCTTTAATGGTCCTGAATGAGGGGCACTGCTACAGCAGCTGGTACCGGAGAACCTATGGTCTCAAGGAGGCAGACCCAGGATGGAATGCAGAATGAAAGGAAAGCTCACAGGAAACAAGTTTGCTTGGAATGCTGGGTGGCCAGGCCTCAGCCTTTGGTCCAGTGCAACCCTTGCCTCACTTGTCAACAGGGAAGAATTAGTTTGGTTAGAAGAATCGTCTAGAATCACACCAGCTTCTGCTACCTTCGTGATTATTGTTAGAAAAGATTAACTAGTGTGAACATTTTGATCTGTTAGCTCTTGGGATTGTTATATTCTTCCCAAAGGATTGCTTGTTGATGGAATGACCCTCAAAAGCTGCATGCTAAAATGCACCACTCCTGGCCTGCAGTTCCTTAAGAATGGACTGGTGTAGTTGAGCTGATATGGAAAAGCTGCAACTGACCTGCTATCCCACCCCAAATCTCAGCCTGAGGTATATTTCAGTGAAGGCAGGTAGCTGTGCTTCTCACAGCAGAGAAGCCGTTTAAGTGCAGAAAGGTAGAGGAAATCTAGAAAAGAACCGTCTTGGTACAGATTTATCCCATGGTGTAAAGGAGGCAAAGAACCCAATGGCACTTTGCTTATCCTGCAATTTCTGTCACTGTGGTGACCAACTTCTGCCCATTCCATAGAGTCTTGAACTGCTCAGGGACTGGGAACTCGTTCTGCAAACAGAAAGAGACAGTGGGTTTAAATATGAGTTAAAGGTTGAGCTGGGGCTAACTCTCAAACTTTCCTCCCAATGCTTGCTTCTACTTAAACCCTGAGAACACGTAGGCTGCAGAAGATTAAAAACCCACCAAGCCACGCTGTGTTCACTGCTGAGCAGTCTGTGATCTTGGACTGACGGACAAGTCGGTGAGGTGTAAATAAATGACAATATGTATGGCTTTATGAGGCCAGCTTCACAGGGTGCTGTGACTCATCCCCTTTTTTTTAATGCCAGAGGGCACATGCATGTGAGAGAGAAAGAGAACCCCCCAACGGGGCCTGGTCACACTGCAATCCTTTAACCTCCAATTCTCCAACCCTTTGGGATCCTGGGCATGTCTGTGCATGCCTGAAGTGTTCCACAAGCTGCTGGGGCCAGAACTTGAACCCTGGTAGGGTATGTGGGATCTGGCTTCCTCTGTGCGGCACTTAGGCACTGTGCTATGTGCCAGCCCACATTGCTGTTTTCTGCTACCCTGAGCTCAACTTGGAAAGGAAAAGCGATTGTCATCTAGTGCTCCCCAACAGCAGACGGCCGGCTTCTGTGCACTTGCGGTGAGCACTGCTGTTTTACCCACTCGGTGCAGGGTGTCCATCCAATGGCTTTGTCTAAAGCACAAAGTCTCAATCCCTTCTGTTTTTATCAGCTCGCTGCTAAAGAGATCAAGAGACTTACAAAGTCGCCGCCTTCTGTGGGAATGAGGATGTTCATCTCAGAAGATTTGGCACTGACTATCTCACAGTCCAGAGAGTTCTTGCTCAGATAAGCGTGGCAGCCATCTGTTTTGTTGATGGAAATAGTTGGCACTTTACCCATTACCTGCAGAAGAAACCAAGACAACTGAGCTCCACCCAGCAGCGGCAGGACAGTGAGAGCAGTGCATTGCAGGGAACGCGCTCATGGTTCCACATGATTCGGCCACGACGTGAAAAGCTCACAGGTGCACAGCAGATACTGGGTGTGAGGGGGCAGGCTGGGAGAGGGGCTGGAAAGAGTTCACTTGAAGAGCCAACTCTTCTGCCACATCCAAAGCAGCTCAGCTTACAGACTGTAGAATCAGATTCCCACCAAAGCAACATCTGTGCACCTGCTGTGTCTTTCAATTAATTCCTTGGAGACCAAAAGAAAGAGCCAAGATATCAAGTTACCTGAACTTTGACATCCCTACTATTGATTATCTCCACAATGCCCACAACGTCATCGAATACCAGACCAAGCTTCTTACAGTTATCTAGAAGAAAGAGAGCAGGTCAGTAGGGTAGCTTGAAAGGAAAGTACCGGATGTAAGAATCTTTAAGAACTGGGCAGGTAAAATGGTCCTGTCAGGTGCAAGGACAGGGCCTGCCTATGACAGTGACAAAGACTTACCTACTGTAATAGAGTTAATTTTGCCCTTGATTTGCAGTGTCGTATTGACACATTTGTATATGTAAGCCACTTGTTTCAGCTCTGTGTCATCAATCACCAGGTTGGAAACGTTCTCCTGATTTTCCTGTTGAAGAGAGACCTCAGGGTTATCGTGAAGCATACCCCAAGCAAAAAAGACACACACGTTACCCCGAACTTCTGTTCTTACATTCTAAGCCAGAACTCTGTGCTCATCCAGCTGAGCCCCTCCTAAACCCTGTCCTGCTCTGTGTTTCCCACCCCAGTATTTTTAACTCACCACTCTCCACTTCTTGCCCTCCAGTTCAAGGATGGCTGGTTCCTTCTTGGTGGCTGGTTTGGAGGATGGGCTGGTTTGGGGCTTAGGTGCGGAGAATGGTTTGGGGCCACTGCGTACCGGACCGCTCTGAGCCTTCAAAGCAGGGTTCTTGTGAGTCTTCATGTCATCGGATACATGTTTCAGGGCTGGAAGAACAACAGCTACCTTGTCCCTGTGTTTCACAGCAGGGCTTTGGGCTGAGGCAAAAACCAACTTCTGCTTATCTTTAGTTAAACTGATCCTTAACAGAAAACTCAAGGCCAAAAACCAGAGCCTTTCAGGTTTTCTCTTGTAAGTAATGTGAGAGAAGTACTTTAATAATTTCACTTCTACCCCAAGGTTAAATTACTATAGTTCCATTTTAAAAAATCAAACATAAAATGTGTGTTGGGGAGGGGTGGAGGGTGGTGGATGGAGGCTGGAGGATGGATATGTAAATACACACACACACACAAAATCCAGAAAAGCATAAACCAAGTATATATGCACAAAAATATATATGTAGTTTTTAAAGCAACAGAGGAGAGAAAGTATGTGACAGTAAAGAAAATTTGCAAAAGGAAAACCAAACTTATCCACAGCTAATTCTCCCCTCTCCTCCAGTGTTGGTATCTGAAACTCTCCAATATTTTTTTCTATTCATGTTTGTCTACATTTGTTATAACTTAACACATTTAACAAATTCGGGTCAACCAATTCAGTTAATAAAAACTTTCTCATGTTAAACTATAGTTCCTACAAGTATTTTTTTATTTTTAAGGGAAATCTACAGTCTGTAAGATTCTATGGTCTCAACACTTTGTTCTTGAACATGGCCCAATGTATGCTGATTACAAAACTAACAGTGAATGGCCTTTTTAGTCCCACCACTCCTTAGAGTTGTAGTTTATTTATTTTTAATTTTGTTTGTTTTTACTACAGGCTGTCTGTGCTCGCCAGAGAGAGGGAAAGAGAGAGAGACATAGAGACAGAAAGCGAGAAATCACCCCTGGGAGGGATAGCCACGCAGCAATCCCTACTCATTCCATTCTCCTCTCAGGATTTTGGGTATACATGAACATATGCCTGGCATGATTTTCAAGTTGCCGGGTCTGGGACTCAAACTATGGTTGGCTGCATGAGAGTACAACTTAACCACCATGCCACTTGTAGTTTAAATACCAGATTTGCCCCCCTTAAACGTGACACGGTTCACTGTAGCAAAAAAAAAAAAAAAAAAGTAACGGCTGCATTATACTCCATCAAGAGGACATGATACCATTAGCCATTCCCTACTGTGAGGTATTTAGGTGGTTACACCATTTTTAGCCACTGTAAGTAACACCACAAAGTTCTTGATTTTAATTGGTAGATCCCTAGGAGAGGGCTGTACAGCTTGGACTCCCAGTAGCTCCTTTCTCTCCCAGCTCCGGGACATTCTTAGGCAAGTTTTCACATGACTAGTACGCATCCACTGAGGAAGTTAACCCGCTGACCACATGGTCCCATGGAAAGAGCTCTGGGAAAACCGCCAGCCCCGTGCCTTGGCACTCCTTACGTGCTGCTTAATATTAAGTCACTTTCCTGTGGGGCAGAGGGTATATCCCAACTATAATCACCCACTTTCAATGTCCATTTAAGCCAGGTTTGCTTTCCCTTTGGACAATTTAAAGAAACATGTCTCCCCAAATTAACTCTCCCCCACACAAGCCAGTGTTCTGCTTTGCAGACTAGATGCCGTGTATCTAACTGGTGAGGTCTGGCCGAGTAACTCAGCACCAACCGCCTATGCCAGCGGACTCACTCACCATGTGTGATGCTCTCGCCCTGATTGATCTGGGCAAACAGTGCTGAGCGGGAAGCAGAGTCATCGGAGCCCGAACTGGTGGGGACCGGTGGGGGCGGTGGGCCTGGTGGAGGGGGAGGAGGACCAGATCCAGCAGAAGGTCCAGACGGCAATCCGCTCAGTTCTTTGGCCACAGGCCCCTGGAACAGTAAGTGCAGGTAACAGTCATCCTCTCTTCCCCTCTGTACCAGCCTAATAGGGCCCACTATGGGTCTACTGTACATGTGGTCACATCAACAAACTATTCACACTCAGCTCGGCTTTATGGCTTCTCACCCTTTGCCAAGGATCCAGCTCTCATCTCCATTTCTCAATCTTCACATTTTTCACTTGGCCTCACATGATTTCAACTCTAAACTCATGTTCAGAGATCTACTTGACATCTTCCCTGTCTCAGACTCAACAAGTTCAAAACTCACTCCATCAACCTGCCTGGCCCCTATCTGTACGATCATCCCCTTGTCTCAATTTCAGTGCAATGTTACTATCCAAGTCCAACTATTCAATCTTCTTTTAGGCTTCTGAGCCCTCTGGGCTCATTAAGATTTCTATGATCTTAGTGTGAACTCCTGCAAATTCTTTTCTATCTGTCCCTAGCATCAGAACCACTTCTGAAGTCTGAACAGGAGCCCTATCCTTAACCTACACAGAGACTCTTAAAGACAACTTTGATCACAGCCATTGCGTTGCTCAAATCCCTAGTCTAAAAGTCTCAGCCTACCTTCTTTTCCAGCCTTTTCTTTCTCTCTTGTCCCCTCCTCCCCCCCTTTTTTTTTGTCAGAAGGCACATACATTCATCAGAAAGAGGGGAGAGAGAAAGCATCTCCCAATGGACCGTGGTCACGCGCAGTCCTTTTCCCTGCATTTCTCCAATGCCAGAACTTTGGGAACATGTACATCATACCTAGCTTGCTTTCCAAGGGGCCAGGAATTCAAGCTGCAGTCAGCCATGTGTCATCTGCCTCCCTATGCACCGTGCTGAACTGCTGCACTTCAGGACCAGCCCCATTTCCAGTTTTTTCTACTAAAAATCTTTAATCATCTCCCCTTATTAAGAAGCAAGAGACAATCAATTTACTTTAAGACGTGTCTCCTGCCAGGATCCCATTTCCACCACTTCTTACTGACCTGTATTTCTTTGCAGTCTCACATCAGAGTAGACCTCTTCCAAGTACAACCTCTCCCTGTGAGAACCACTATTCTCTTCCTTATGCTCTGCATCTTTTTCCCCCCTTCTTTAAGGTTTTTGCCATAGGGCACATGAGTTCACCAGAGAGACAGAGAGGGGGAACCTGAGGATCCCCTCCCACCCTCCTCAGAGGATGGTCACACTGTGATCCCTTCTCCTCTTGGGATTTTGGGCATGCATGCATACATGCCCAGTATGAGTTTTAAGCTGCCAGATCTGGGACTCAAACCACAGTCAGCCAAGAGGGAGTCCAGTGCCTTAATCACTATGCTACCTGCTGGCCCCATACTCTGAATCTTTATTCTGGTGTTTAGCTTGGTGATTTGTGCAGGGGTTTTGTATCTACATTTTTAAGCTCCTTGAGGGCTGGGACAGTATAACTTACTCATCTGTGTCTCCCCTCCAGCACCAAGTCAGCACTGTCCCTGACCCAGAGACACTGAAGTCGACTAGAATGGAATATTCCTTCTCCCCTGACCCTTGCTTTCTTTACTCTCTTCTCTTTATTCCCTTTTCTTCTCTTCCTCTTGTTTCTAACCTTGGCTTAAAAAAAAATGAAAGGAAGAAAGAAAGAAAGAGAAGAAGAAAGAAAGAAAGGAAACAAAACAAAAAAAAACTAGCATTCCTTCATGGACCATGGAGGTGCTGAAGTCTGACAAACCAGTGGGCCCCGGTTTATCCCCTCAGGGGATAAAAAGCAGGGAAGGGACTTACCGTTTTGCTCCAGGCAAGCCCGGTAGTATGGAACTCCTTAATGTAAGCCTGAAGCTCTGTCCATATACTCAAGTAAGCTTTGACCCAGTCCACATGCTTCTTATCCCTGGGAAAATGAAAGAAGTCATTCTAAGTGCTCAGGGTACATTCTAGAAGCCCCCTGTCTGTGGGCTCACATCCACCCACCTATGGCTTTTTTTTTTTCCACTCTGTTCAACGTCAGCTTTTTTTTTTTTTTTTTTTAATTAATTTGCTAGAGGGAGTATGTGCTCGCCCGAGACAAAAAGCACCCTCACCCAGGGGATGCATACACTGTAATCCTTTCTCCTCCATTTCTCCCTAAGGATTTTGGGCACACATAAAAACGTGCCTGGTATGTTTTTCAAGACGCTGGGTCCATGCAGTTGGCCATGTGGGATCTAGCCACCTTAACCATCACGCCATCAGCTGGTTCTCAATGTCAGCTTTTCTATCATTGCTGAGCTTTTTTTCCCCTTCTAGTCTAATGTAGTACCCTGATTAGACCAAACCCCATTAAAATAGGGACTCTGGATTCTTTCTCTCTCACAGTAGTATTTCTCAAACTTTTTTTTTTTTTTTAATGTAGCAAGACTAGTTTTTCAAAGTAGAACTTGGGCAAAACCTAATATATAAAACGGATATAAACAGATATTCTGTGCATGAAGCTATGGTAGTGAGAGGAGCTCTGAAGAAAAACTTCCAGGCTCTGAGAAACTCAACTGCCTTTTGAAATAGTGCCTTATGTTAAAATATGCTGTCCCCCCCCAAAATAAAAAACTTCCCTTGAGGAAATAATCAGCTTTAAACGACAGAAACAGCATTGCACAATAGTTCATGTCCCCGTCGTCTTTTCCGGTAGCCGAAAGACTTTAACATTACTTAGCCCAAGAGCTAGTCTCCTTAACTATAAAATGGTGAGGTAAGGGTGGAGTATATTCAAACACTGTCGCACTTCATTCCAGGTTGCTGGAGGAGCAAAGAAGTACCTGCTGTTGTAGGATACATTTCACACCCAGGAAGGCTTATTCCTGGGCAACTAGTTGTTCAATGAATGCCTGCTGACTGATGATACATGGAAATGAAGAGTTTGAGTAGCTATGCAAGTTAGTAATTGCTGCCTGTAATCACTTTAGTTCAAAACCAGCTCAAGCCCATGGCAAAGGGCTCAGTAGTGCTAACCAAAAAATTACCCTGAGTATTTATGCAGTCAGTTCAAGCAAGGGAAAGACTGCCTTGCCAAGGCAGGTATTTGGTAAGGGGAGTTATATGTCTACCCGCCCTAACTAATCTCAACAGAGGAACAAAACTTCTCAATAAAGAAACAAATCTTGTATCAACAGGCAAATTAAAAGGCATTAGTCCCGGTTACCTCCAGTAAAAACCTCCTAAATCTAACAAAGTAAGAATCAGAAGACTTAAAAGGGTCTCTACCAACCATGGAGAGAAATCAGAAATGGATGAAGAAATGCTTGCTGCTTGCAAATCCAGTTTCAATGAGCTAATATGCATTGAACTCTCCAGAAAGCAGCCCTGATGTAGAACCAAACCAATGGCCAAGGGCAGCCTTAATTAGCCCCAAAGTGATATCCTAGCAAGTAACCAGCTCAGTTTCCCTTTTTCCCTTGAGTAAGGCTAGACTTACACATCTTTGTACTCTTTGAGGACTCGGTTCGTGTAAAACATGGCTGCATCATTCATTTCTTTCACATAGGGGCCAGGCTTGGGAGCCTAGAGAAAGAAAAGCTGTCAGTGACTTAGAGCTGCACCAACCCTATCACCTCACCTCTTTCGATCTACCCCTCCCTCCTCTTAGCTGTGCTGCTCACCATAGCCACCCAACCCAGGGCCTGGATGCTTTCGCTAACAGCTGACAGGTGATTGAACAACTTGCTGCCTCTGTTCTTTTCCCGGAAGGTTATCACTTCTTGGATCTGCTCTGAGATAGGAGCCAACAAATCGGAGAGCTTATTCTAGAAGAGAGAGAAAAGATTCAGGTTAGTTTTATATGTCGGCTGACTCTGATCCTGAAGGCAAGAATTCTTTATGAACTATAGTGAGCTCCCAAATCGACTCTGTATCCATTCTGTCCTGATCATACAGCTAAGATCCTGCCTGTCATCTTGCTTTCCTCATGGAGTTCCAACTCCTCAGGCTGGATTTGTAGTTCATGATCAGGACTCAAACTCTAGCTACCCCGCAGCATCCTGCCATTTCAGCCACTTACCTTTCTCTGTCCTGCTAACAGGAGAGACTCGTTCATTTCTGTGCCTTCACTCCTATGCTCTTTGTTTTCCACCTATCCAGTGTTCCTCATGCTTCCTAAGGATCAGCCCCCCCCAGTGCCAGTCACACCAGCTTCCCACTGCATTTACTGTTGGCACAGCCAATTTTGGTACCGTATCACTTAGCAGCACAAACCATGAAGGGGCCCGTGAGAGTGTGTTTCTTTCTCATTAATTCTTCAAACACAAGGATTTTTGTCTTAGCCCTCTGTCATCATTCACTACAGCCCTCGGTGGAGTGCTAACCATACAGCAGCTGCTAGTAGAGATCTCAAGAATCAAATACAATTAGGGGACTTGGCAGCTGAACAGACAGATTAGCAAAATGGATGAGTCTTGGCCTAGCTGGTGGTATAGTCAGCAGAGAACTGAACGGCAGTGCTGAATGCCACGTGGCCCACCAGAGGCTCAGATCCCTGGGCCAGCCATGCGCATATATGCCCAAGGTTCCGATGAGCTGGAGGGCTAGGGAAAGGGGGTGGTGATGTAACATGTGCTATTGTTAATAATATAAATAAAACCTAAAAAAAAAAAAAAAGGATGAATCTTATGTTTCTGCATTTTTACCTTTCTTCTAAAACTCTGTTTCCCAACATCTTGATTCTTAGGCCTTAAGCATGAAAGCAGTCTAAAGCAGCAGTCAACAAAATTTTTCTATAAAGATCCAGACATAAATACTTGTTCCCTAAAAACTTTATTAACAAAAACAGATGGTGGGCCAGATATGGCCTGCAGATTGTAGTATGCCGACCCCTGGTCAAAGCAAGGGAAACTGAACTATCTCTGTTACTTGATTTGTTGGGAAAGTGTCGGTTTGAAGAAAAGGTCTAGACAAGCTTTAACCACTCAGAACAGATTAAGAATTAGAATCTAGGGGCCGGCAGGTGGCATCGAGGTTGAGGGCACTGGACTTCCATATGGCTGACAATGGTTTGAGTCCTGCTGGCTGCTTTCTCGCTTTCTCTCTCTCTCTCTCACTCTGTCCCTCTCTGGTCAAATTAAAATAAATACATAGTTAAATAAAGTAATTCTTTAAAAATAAATTAGAATCTAATGTGTTTAATATTATCTTACACTATTTTTACATTATTTAGGCAAGCCAAGGGTCATGAGTTTTAACAGAGCGATAGCAGGAAGATTTGCTTTATTATCATTTTATGCCTAGCAAAGCCAAATGCAAAAGAAACACAACTCTTAACTCTGAAGACCTCAATTTTCTCGAAGTCAGCTTTTCATACCCTACAGCCTAGCATTTTGAAGTAAGTATAAAGTTAAAGGAAGATCCTCCAACCACTGAAGGAAGAGGGGAGAAGCAGTACTGCGGGACTTGTAGGGTCTCTACAGCAGCATTATTAAAACTACCTGCAGTGAAGCAGGAGAGCCATCTCGCCGAGGTTTAGGGAACACTGGGATGAATCTGAATTCAGGCAAGAGGCTAAAAAGGCTGTCATTTGGGAGAAACAGCAAATCCACTTCTGGGTAACTACAGTCCCAAGCACAATGACAGAGACAAAAGCCAGTAGAGACCAGTAAGGGTGGAATGGCACATTCCCATACGGCATTTTAAACGTGACTCTACCTCTGGGCCCTGGTGTGAACATACATTGTCATGAGCCTGGTAGGTCTATTTTAGCATGTTAGGATAGCTTAACAAAAGTCTCTCAATTTGTCCCACAGATCACATCAAAACTAGACCAACGAGTGGTAAACTTACGCCTGCTGGCTGCTGGCACTGAGAGGCTGTAACCAAGAGAGCTCGCTCCAACTTCAGACCCGTGTGGACCATCTCCGCCTGCCGGAGAGGAGAAGAATCAGTTATTGATGACACGTTACTACAGGAGAGGCCTTGGTAAGAATAACTTGAAACCTCCACTTCCACCTATGCTAATATCAATCTGGGAATTCCATGTTGCTTTCTTCAGGTGTTCCAGATGCTAGTGGCTGACAGCAGAATTACATATAAGACAGTCTCCAACCTACCATGTTCACCTTAAATCTTTCAACTTTTTAATGGTGTGAAAGCAATACATATTCAGCAGAAGCCCTACTTTGAGTTGCCACACAATTGTTCTGTTTTTCACTTTCAGTACATTATTCAGTAAATCACATGAGATATTTGACTGTTTATCATGAAATAGGCTTTGTAAACCTATTATTACTACTTTGCCCAACTATAAGCTAATTTAAGTGTTCTTAGCATGTTTAAGTAGGCTAGACTAAACTATGATGGAGGTTAGGTGTTGTAAAGGCATTTTCAGGCTAGCTCTGTGGCCTAGTGGTTAAGGCAGTTGGATCCCACATGGCTGACCACCCAGTTCAAGTAGTGGACCTAGTAGCTTGAGAAACATGCCAGGTGCATGTCCATGCATGCCTAAAATCCCAGGGCCAGTTGGTGGCATATTGGTTAAGGTGCTGGACTCCCACATGGTTGACTGGTTTGAATCTTAGACCTGGCAGCTTGCAACACGCTCTGGGCGTGTGTACTTGTGTGCCCCAAATCCGAGGAGAATGGACTGTGGTGTGGTCATTCCCTGCTGGGAGTGATTTCTCACTTTTCTCCTCTGCACCTCTCTCCAGTGAGCGCACATACCCTATAACCAAAACAAAACAAACAAACAAACAAACAAAAATCCCAGTAGGATGGAGAAACGGAGGAGAAAAGGGTGGCAGTGTGACCATAACCGAGTGGGGATGCTTTATTCTTCTCCCTATTTCTCTATTTCTCTCCAGTGAGTGTATACACCCTGTAGCAAAATTTAAAATAAATATGGGGCCAGTAGGTGGCATAGTGGCTCAGGCGCTGGACTCCCACATGGTCAACCAAGGCTTGAGTCCCGGACCTGGGAGCTTGAAAATCATGCTGGGCAGGGCTGCAGGTGGTGTGGTAGTTGAGAGCACTGGATTCCCGCATGGCCAACGGCGGACCTGGCGGCTTACTTTCTCACTTTCCTTCTCTCTCTCTCTCTCTCTCTCTCTCTCAACTCTGTCCCTCTCTGGTCAGATTAAAAGTGAATAAATGAATAAATAAAGTTAATTTTTTAAAAAAAAATTAATTTTTTTTTTTTTTTTTTTTTTTGCCCCTTGCCAGCCCCAAAATAATTATTAAAAAAAAAAAAAAAAAGAAAAGAAAAAACGGAAGTCATGATGCTGAGCACCTGTGTGTGCACAGATACCCAAAACCCCTGGAGCATGGCCACTCCCCAGGGAGTGATTTCTCACTTTCCCTCTCACTATTTTTTTCTGTTTCTCTCCTCTCCGGGTGAGCGAACATGCCCTATGGCAAAAAAAGAGTTTAAAATAAATAAATAAATAGATGCATTTTCAACTTAAGATGGGTTCATCAGGACATAACTACATCAGAAGTTAAGGAGCAACTGTACTACTGTTTCTATTGGAACTAATCAGAGATATTAATCCAGAGTTGGAGATGAAGATAGTAAAGGCTGGGGCCGCCAAATGGCATGGTGGTTAAGGGTGCTGGACTCCTATATGGTCGACTGTGATTCGAGTCCCAGACCTGGCAGCTTGCTTTATCACTCTCCGCCCTTCTGTCCCTCTCTGGTCAAATTAAAATAAATAGAGTTAAATAAAATAATTCTTTCCCTCCACCCAAAAAAAGGATAGTAAGGGCTAGCATCAGTTGAAGTCAAGTTAGCAATTATACATGCAGGATAGTGTAACATGTACTGAAAAATCCCTCCTATCTCACTTCACCAAAAAAGCCTCTTTTGGGGTCAGCTAGTGACATGGTAGTTAAGGCAGATGAATACTACATAGCTGACTATATGGTTCAAATCCCAGACCCGAATGCTTAAAAAACACTCCAAGTGTGCATGCACACATGCTCGAAATCCAAAAAGGAAAAATGGAGAAGTGATTGTGGCGTGACTGTCCCCTACTGTGTGGGGGGAGGGGATTATGAGGATAGCGTGCTTTCTCACTCCTCCCCCACTTCCACCTGCCCCATCTTCCTCCAGCAAGCACACATGCCCTCTAGCAAACTAAAAACAAAAACAAGCAAATATTACTGAAGTCCCAGTCCCACTCTGTAAAGTTAACACCATTGCCAACAGATAATACGAGAAGCTTAAACTAGATCTTACAAAGGTCAAGCAACCAGTCCTGCCAAAGAGTTTAAGGTGAGGAAGATCCCAAACATAGCTACTGTTTATAAAGGAACAGTCAGTGGACTGGTAGGAAGGTTTTGATTCCAAAGATAGAAGCAGGATGCATATGCGAATGTGCGGTGGTGGTGGTAACAACACGAGAGGCAGCACACGAAGGGAAGTGGGTGGAGAGGCACCTGTCACTGCCTACTTCACATTCTTGCCGTGGGCTAGGTGTGAAAATAACCCATATTAGCATAACTAATAACTACCAAGCAGTTTTATAAATGCTAAGTCATGATAATGACTCCTTTGAATAAGCCATCTTAGAGTTGGTTATATAATATAGTGGGATCGGATCGGTAGGATACTCTAGACTACAGAGAGGAACAGAGCCATACTTCATGCACCAAGCAAGCTTTCTGTATAAAAGCCTACACAGAATCTGTAATAACAGCCGGGGGCCTAGACAAATGAGGAACTGATTCTGTGCCTGGATTGAACTCCTCAGTATAAGCAGAGGAGAATAAGCCTGGAGTCCCTCAAAGAGTGTTTAAACGGAGAAGTGGGATCTGAAGAAAGCTATCAATCCTTAAAAGAAGGAGAAAGGGGGCAAAAGGTCCTTACGTGTTTCTGCACGTCTCCCCCAATTTCTTTACTGATCTTCAAGTACTCTGCCACAGGACCAGCAAGCAGCGAGTCAAAAGCTTGCACATATGGCGCTGCTCCTGCTAAAGACAGACACACCATGAAGAATCGGTCACACTGCAGCAGGAGGATTCTTTAAAATGCATGACCATGGGGAAGTGGGGAGGCAAGGTGAAACAGTAAACAGAATCTTGGGACAAGAGTCAGGACACCTGGGTTCTGGTTCCAATACCACCACTAACTGGTCATGTGACCCTAAGTCCCCTTTCCTTCTGATTTTAATTTTCTTTACCTATAAAAATGAAAATAAAGGAAATGATCTTCTAAGGTTCCTTGTAGCTCTAATATTCTATGATTCACCTGGTATATGTGCAAAATGGCTGATTTGCCAGTCATTTGGAAAAAGGAAATTTTAATGTCACCTGCCATTTGACTTGCACTGGCGTACTGATCTTCAAGTACTCTGCCACAGGACCAGCAAGCAGCGAGTCAAAAGCTTGCACATATGGCGCTGCTCCTGCTAAAGACAGACACACCATGAAGAATCGGTCACACTGCAGCAGGAGGATTCTTTAAAATGCATGACCATGGGGAAGTGGGGAGGCAAGGTGAAACAGTAAACAGAATCTTGGGACAAGAGTCAGGACACCTGGGTTCTGGTTCCAATACCACCACTAACTGGTCATGTGACCCTAAGTCCCCTTTCCTTCTGATTTTAATTTTCTTTACCTATAAAAATGAAAATAAAGGAAATGATCTTCTAAGGTTCCTTGTAGCTCTAATATTCTATGATTCACCTGGTATATGTGCAAAATGGCTGATTTGCCAGTCATTTGGAAAAAGGAAATTTTAATGTCACCTGCCATTTGACTTGCACTGGCGTCTGCTAAAGAAAGAACAGGAAATATCACACAAGCAGGAAGTTCTTGTGTTAAAATAACTTAACCACAGGCCTCCCTGCACAAGACATTTTCTCCTTTATCTCTTTATAGCGATATGAATTACAGGAGATGAACTTTCTAGATTGTTTTGGGAAGTAAGCACTAGAGGAGAGAATTCAGCGTGATTAAAAAGTTTCAGGCCAAGACACTGAAACAAAGCATTCTACTGGGCTGTGGATTGCTTACCTTTCGAAGAGCTGTCTCCATACCCTCGGTGCATGTCAGAGGTGTGGGATACTGCCTCCAGGCGGTCCACTACCCTCTCCAATCTTTCTACCAGATTTTGCATGTCAGCCATAATGTGTCAGCTGCTGAAATAGATCAAATGTCATTTGCTATTTTAATATTACATAGCACCTACAAAGGAAAAAAAAAAAACAATATCCTGGAGGTGAGAAAGTACACCAATTTTGAGGAACAGAATAATTTAATAATAAAATAAGATGAGGAAGTAGTCTAGCATATTTGCAAAACCATAAAGACCTTATTAAACAAGAGAACTACTCAGGAAAAGGTGTTCACTAAAGCAAATGCTTACCCATTCAAATACTTACTGAATTTCTCCTATGATACTCTAAATATTTGTGTTAAGGATTTAGAATTTACAAAATCTATTCATACATATTATCTTAGTTTGAGCCTCCCAACAACTATTTGGAAATGGAAGAATAATTACTACATTTCCAGAGACAGAAAACTTTTTTTAAAAAAGAATTATTTATTTAATTTTATTTATCCATTTATTATCACTTTTTAAATTTGATCAGAGTGAGACAGAGAGACAGAGAGATGGAGGGAAAGTATGAAGAAAGCAAGCCATCAGGTCCAGGACTCGAACTGTGGTTGGTTATGTGGGAGTGTCCAGTGCTTTAACCACCACACTACCTGCTGGTCCCCAGGGACAGGAAATTTAATTTCAGTGAAATTAAATGACTTGCCTATCAGTATGCAGCTAACAGAAGTTAGTAAATTCAAGTCTTTTCGCTCTTAAATTCAATGTGGGTTTTTTCACCACAGTACCCTGATGACTGACTATATGTGAAATGCCCCAATCCAAGATTAATAGGATTCTTACCCTGCGTCAATAATTCACAGTGTAACAAGGGAGACAACATATGTACTAACAACTATAAAACAAAGGAAAAAACGAAGTCATAAGGAAGTAGGAGATAGAGCGGCGTGGGATTTCAGAGCAGGAAAGAGTACATCAGCTGGAAGGATGAGATAAGGCTCTCATGGAGAAGCTGCCATTTGAGCTAGGCTTCAAAGATGAGCAGGAGCTGGACGTGCAGAAGGAAGGAGAGCTACACTGGAAGAACTTGTTCTAGATCTTTCACGAATACTAACTCATCTGAACTAACCTCATACAATGTCTAACAGCCTGAAGAAATAAGCTCCAAGAGGCAAAGGACTTTCATCCCTTATTATATTCTACCATCTAGACCACTACCCGGCAGGGAGTAGGTGTTCAGTATTTATGAGGTTAATGAACCTGAAGTACAGTATTCCAAAACTCCAGAGGTGGAGGGTTCTGAAAGGTGTCCATACTAGATACATAAGTAAAATGTCATCCATACACATCTACTTAAAGTATTTGAGACCGTAAGTGATCTCATAAAACTCCGTGAAATTTCAATCAAAGCCTGACTCTTAAGGATTCCATTTCAACGCAGCACTAATTTTTAGTTTAGGTAACTGAAGCCAAATGAACTAACTTCTCTTGAAGCTATCTAAAATGACCGTAGCAACTGGATTCTCCCAGAGACGATAACACGCCAAAACATCTCCATTTAACACACTGTGCTCCCTTGGAAGAAATAAGCAGCTCACAAGATAAAGTAAGGAAGACAAGGTAATCCCTGTCCATTCTTTCCTGTGTATAGGCTCTGGTCCCTCTGGGCCCAGTTACTTGCCAGAAAATGTTGTTTAAAAGAGAATCAAAGAAAAAAAAAAAATGAGACCCAAATAAACCTTTCCATTCCTTGGCTTGGAGAAGCAGCAGAAGCCTCTAGGTCTATGCTCTGCTCACAAATGCCGCAGCCTAGAAACAGCCAACATCATCTCCCTTATGTTATGACACCATCAGCTGAGATCTGAATTGCTGCCCTGTTCCATTTTGGGTAGTGGCCAGGGACAGACTCACACACAATCTGCAACACTTTATAAATCCAGGGGAAAAGGCAAGGAATGCAAAAACCTCTCCAGCTACTTTCTAGATACCACCCAGTTCTGTTTATAACACGCTCCTTTAGTCATATGGACGTTACAGGTTGAGACCACTGTCAACATGGAGCCATGGTAGAGCGTCTCTAAAGGCTGCCAGGGTTGCCAGGGTTGTCGAACATTTACCAGTCTTAAATGCCTAGGAACACAGCTTCGTGGAATTGTGATTTCTCCTCCCCCCATTTCATTCATACTTTTTAGACTTTCACTGTTATGCAAGTTACAGTCTGCAGAATGGTTTAAGCAGAATGAAAAGGGACAATACAGCTACCATTTATAACTAATCTCATTTTACTACTAATCAAATATACAACAGTACCTGTTTTTCTTTTATCTATTTATAAATTCCATGAGTGAGTGAGCAAGAGAGAGAGTGAGAGAAATAGCACTCCCAACAGGGTCTTGATGTGGATCCATCCCCAGCCTTCAGCCAGTTCTGGACCACAGGCCCTTGCCTGTGTCCAGTGTACTCCGGCAGGGTAGTTTCTAGGCGCAAACTCCGAACCTTTCCATGTGGGTCAGTCTCATGGAGTCTGCATCTTACCACTGCACCACTGTACAGACCCAGTTCTTGTTTTGTTTTTGGTAGGAGTAGGGTAAGATTTGAAATGTTGGGGGGATAGATTGTCCAGAACTGAAGGGACACACACACACACTCTTCATGCGGACATGTCGACTCTCAAGCCTTCAACTATCACTGCTATACTAACACCCAGCCCATTTGCTAGGTGGGACCATCACAACCACCTACAGACTGAAGACTCCCAGAACAGTATATCCGTTAGGCCACTCTTCTGGGATTCAGAATTTTAAATCCAGCTTCCATCTAGATATTCCTACCTAAATGTCCCAAACGCACATCAACTGAAAAATTCAAAACAGAACTCATCATCTACCCTAACACTGCTGCCTCTCCCTGGACCCCATCCACTGTCTCAGTGATCCAGCAGTACCCACCTGATTGGTGGGTCACAGTCTGGGAACTGTTAGGAAGTATCACCCAGTGTTAAGAGCAGTCTTTAGAGAAGGCGACGGACTAGCAATCGGAGTAACACTCACTGGCTCTGTGACAGCAGTTACCAAACTTTCTAAGCCTCTTCATAATGGGGATGACAACAACAGTATAAAATATGAAGGGCTTCAGTGAGACTGAGGAGATCCAGAAGTGCTGAGCTCAGCCCAGGAAAAGAATAAGGATTCCATAAATATTAACTGAATTATCCTCTTTCGGACTCTCCCACATCGCATCAGTCATCAAAATCCATAGGGTCTGTCTTGCTTATCTCATGACTAGATGTCCATCGCCTCTATCCTGATTTAGTTAGGTCATCAAGATCCCCCTGGATTACTACAGTAGCTTCCTAGCTAGTCTCCCCTAATTCCAGTAAAACACCTCTTCACCTATTCTCCATATTATAACTGGAGTGATTCATCTCAAATGCTAACGTAATCATAACACTTTTATTTCATGTCATTCAATACTCCCCAGAGCATTCAGGGTAAAGTTCAAAAAAGGGTTTCCCTAATCTAGTCCTGCTTTATCTCCTACCACTCCCATTTATCTCGTTAGACCTTTCCTCAGCAAATACAGCAACCTAGGACTACTTGCCTTTTCCAGAAAGAGCTGTGCTTTCTCTTACTGAGCCTTTATAATACTACCCACTCTGCTCAGTGCTTTCCCTTCCAGTCTGCCCCTCTCCTGAACTCCTGCTGTCTTTTTTTTTTTTTTTGCCAGAGGGTGTGTATGCTAGAAAGCATTCCCATGGGTAATGGTCATGTCTCAATCTCTTCTCCTCCATCTCTCTCTCCTTACAGTTATTTGGGACATGCACACACCCCTGGTATGTTTCTCAAAAGCCAATGGTCCAGGATTTGAACCACTTGGTCAGCTATATGGGATCTGGCTGCCTTAACCACCAGGTCACTGAATCAGCCCCCCTTGGTCCTTGACATCTTAACAAGGTGTGACTTCCCCAAGAAGCAACTCCAGTGTGTGCTCCCACAATACTGAATGTATCCCTACCACAACACCGAATGTGCAAGTACCAGCAAATAGTTTCTACCTCAGAAACTTCCCTGAGTACACTGGACACACCCTTGCCTGTGGTCCAGAACTGGCTGAAGGCTAGGGATGGATCCAAGTCAAGACCCTGTTCGGAGTGCTGTTTCTCTCACTCGCTCTCTTGCTCACTCACTCACTCATGGAATTGATAAATAGATAAAAGAAAATTGTGAGCGGGCAATGAGCTGCTCTAGGGCAGGGACCTTGTCTTCTTGCCCTTGTAAATCCTGTACTATAAATGTGGTAGGCACTAAAAATACAGCAGGTATGGAGGGGTCAATAAATAAGTAAATAAGGGTCCCAACCCATTCTCCCCTCATCACAAGTCTGGCAGTCTCCCTTCTCTGCCAAATTTGTGAAGTGTTTTGGGTTCACTCCTACTTCTTTCTTATTTTTAAAACTTTTGGCCTGACTGCTTTTGTAGGACTTCACTAACACTCCCATTTTCAAATATGTGCTGCCTTTTCCAGTACAAATCACACTGATGTAGAGACCTTCGAGTAAGCACCATAAGGAAAGCAACCTTGTTTATTAGAATCCATACTAATTTAAGTCCCTTAAGAGTTGTAAAGCTTTAAATCACGAATCTCTTCTTTCTTTGAAACTTAAAAATAATTCTGGGGACCAGCAGATGGTGCAATGGTTACATCATTGGACTTCGACACACTCGACCGTGGTTTGAGTCCCAGGCCCAGCAGCTTAAAGCTCACACTGGGCGTGTGTGTATGTATTCCCAAAATTCTGAGAGGAGAATGGAGAAGGGATTGCAGCCGAAGCCATCTCCCCTGGGGGTGATTTCTCACTTTCTGTCTGTCTTTCTGGTGACCACATGCATTCTACAGCAAAAATCTCTCTAAAAAAATTTTTTTGTGAGGCATGTTACACAGATATTGATACCCATTTTAAGAGCAAAATAATGGACTTTCACAAAAGTTAGGCTCATCAGAGAACAAATCAGTGAGTGAAGAACCTAAACCTTGAGTACAAACATTGTAAATCTCAGTCTGAAGCTCTCATGCATTCCAC